CCTCCCCCTCGCCTGCCACATCCTACACAACCCCGCAGTCGATTCATTAAAGTCGATCGAACCGGACTGATGACCGAATTTGCGGTTTATAAAAATATGTTTTCGTCTTATGTATGTAAAGCAAGCAAATGTAATCTATATACATTTATTTTACTTTCTCTGTGAATTTGAACTTTATTTAAGGCATAAATAAAGATATTATTCCATTCTACATTAATTGAAACTGTTAGAAGCGCTAGTGCCGGCTGGGATTTGAACACCAGCTGAGATCTTACCGTTATCATTACCAGACAAAAACAAACTATATATTGAACATACGCACGTAACATTTCCATGGTGTAATCCAATGAGTTAATGCTCAATTTCACACAACACGACACCTGTTGCCTTCCTCGAGAAAACCTGCATATTAACTACTAACAATTATCAGTTATTATCATTGCCTACCATAACTGTCAAACAGCACTAAATATTATTTGTTAAATGTCATATTTTTTATAATATTTTGTAACGGACACCTTTGACGGGTTACAAAGGAGCGAACACGGCCAAGATGGGCCAGGTGCCCCTAATTAATGTTACATATAAGAATTTATGAGACCGGTGTGTAAAATAATCAAATTAAAAATATGATGCCAATAACCGAAGTAATCGCAGAAGTTAGATTTAACACGGAAATGGAAAGAAATTAATTTTTAAAACGTTAAAAAGTGAAAAGCGTTGATAGGTATTTCTATGTGAACATTATTCATTTGACAAACTACGATCAATTTTTTTATTAATTTGGTATTTAGTAAAAAATATTAGAACCACATAGAAACTTCGGTTTAGTTGAATACGTCATAGGAGTCATTTTAAAAATATTATGTATCATTTGTAGATAAAGGTAACTATTTTTTAGTAATAATCCATTTACACAAGTATCTGATCATGATACATTACATCAAGACTGTTATTTTCCTTTAACAAGAATTGTATTTTATCCGTTTTATGTTGCACAAATCGATTACACCACAACGACCTAAATATTTCTAAACTTGTAAACGTCACAGCAAACGGATGAACAGTCGACACATAAAAAGCACTCGTTATGACAGCCTCCAAACATACCGGACGGACGCATTGTCCGGAAAGGTCAACCGTACATAAATCGTCCGCCAGTTAGTTGCCTCTAACAAAGTCCACTTGGCAGTAAAGTGGCTGCTTGTAAATCAAAACGACGAATCGAATAAAAAAAAATAAAGTATAAACACGCCGAGACGGACCGACATCGCACACCAGTCGGCTATAGTGACGTTAACCGCTTAATGTATCGATAGAATCGAAAACTTAACTTGAAACTTTTTGAATAAAACAAAATTATTACAAACTTTAAATAAGATACAAAATAATACCAAACTAGTTAACAACATGTAGGTAATCAGATATATAGACTTACAATAAGAAAATATTAGTATCAGATTTTCCATTACAGGTTATACACAAAGCCAATTTCAAACGAGTATAAAAGGGACTAGAACAAATAAATTTACCGTCGTAAATTCTCGCAGTAAACCTAACCTAGTATTTTGTCATAATCATAAACAGTCATTAACTGGCTAGTGTTAAATCAATGTTTAGAAAAATAAACATAAATACTTTTATCGATATTAAAAGCAGTGTCTTGTCCCTAAATGACATGACTGGAGCAAAGTATAAAGGATTCTGCAGGGCAATAAAAAAAGATAAGGCGTATTACGGTATGTCCGAAGATAAAGGGTCGCTTTATGTTTTCATATTAACTTCGATGTAAAACGAGCGGAATAACTGACAAGTGCCAATGGACGTGTGTGAAGTTTTGCTAATCTACACTCGACAGCGAATATTAAATTAAAAGATATTGCAAAAAGTAAGAACTTTAGGTTTAACAAAAGTATGGCATTTTATTTCACATCCTTAAAAAAAGATCCTCTGCTTTATAATATCAGAAGCTAAATTGGCTTCTTTATTTGGCTAAATAAAGCACACCTTTTCAAGGTTTTTAATTTTAACGTCTTCAGGGCCATAACAATTAAACTATTGAGCTTGTAGTGTAAGTTTTTTCAATCCACAATTCTTAACAATAATTCCTAGCAGATCAACAAATGATTTCAATGTTTTAAATCACGCGAGCAGAGGATGGTATTATGCAAAATAATTCAGTTTCTATTGTTCAATGTAATACACGCCTCATAAACAACGGATTTAGCTAAAAAGTAGCAATTTAACAACCGACAGTTATACGTTTAACTACCGCAAAGTCGATTAGTAGTTTTTCTTGTACTATCGCTACACTAAGTGTTTTCCTAAGTGACCAGTTAGCAAATCAGTTAACATTAGTGTCCATTTAATATCTGTGTGGAGGAATTCTGAAAAAAATAGCATAGAATATACTTTATAAAAAGAGTTATCAAAAAATTAATAGAGAATGCATTGTAAGGCAATTTAAGAGCACGCTCCACCGCCCACCCTACAATAAAATTTGTCCCTGATATCCCATTTTGATTGGACGCCTTGATTTATCTCTTGTTTAGGTTTTTATATGACGATCGTATAATGTTGATACTTTTTAAAAATATCATAAATGTTATTGTTTTTGTTGATATTTAGTTTTATTTGATATTAGACAATTAAAAAACAAATAAAATAATGCTCGAGACACAAAATTTCGATGGTTTTCAATGAGTCATTTAGGCATAAAGCCCCGCAAACAGGATGTCCTTTATTTAGGGTACTTGTTAGGTTTCCATGCCCGATTACATTGAAACAAACCTTACCAAAATTCATTAAATGCGATCGATTTTTAACATACACAAATATTCATTTCCAATGCCACAAAATGTAATAATACATGGTAATATTCTGACGTAAGACATTAATAATTACGTGGACTCTGTCATCTTCAAGAAATATACTTAACTAGCTTTTCCCGTGCGACTTCATCCGCATGAAACTATGAAAATTTTATTTTATTGTTTACGTTTGTCAAATTATCAATTACAAATGTCAAAATGACATGACAACCTTGCTTCCTTGATGTTGACAGCAATTTGTGGTCTCTTTCCCACAATAAGTTTTTTTATCCAAAATATTTACCTCCTAAGTTTAATGGCATTAAAATAGATAGCCTAAAGCGTGACGTAAGTGTAGGGCATTTAAAAAAAAAGGATTATTCAAAAGTATGCTGTATATGCTAACATATTAGGCAACAAAGAAGTGTGTTTTTACGCTTTATTATAATAGTATAGAAAAGTCAAAGAAGAACTATTAAGTTGTACTGTTCTTACTTTAATGATTACAACCAAATTAATCATAAATCTTACCAACATCAAAACTCATATAACTTTAATATTGTCTATATTTTTTAGTATGTCACGTTTTAAGAAACAAACACGGTAAACCAGATCAAAGTATCAAAATGTCTCAGTCGTACTACAGTGTGGAACAATAGAGACATTTCCCCCGGGACAAAATCCTAGGAGCGCAGTGATTTAGAATAAGTTCACTTGTTGCGATAGACTGGGGTCTGTTCGGCTGACATAGGACTAATGTGTCGATTACAAGTGCTCGTGTTGTCCTAAATTGAAATTACCCTTGTAAGTATCGAGCATGTAAACAAGGGAGTTAGTTCTTCTAGAAAGTTAAAGTGAAGTGACTTCTTAACCTGTACAATTTGCGTAATATCCAGAAATTATGTAAATGTAAATGCTTAGATCTACAATACATTTTGTTTGTCAGTTACAAATGTAACTTTGCATACACACAATATTTCATACAAGTAAAATGTTTAATTTAAAATGTAAAGTAAACTTCGAGTATAATATTTTTAACACAAACAACGATTAATTCTTTGGACCTTTGCAATTATCAAAGGACGTCAAGTAATTACAATTTTTTTCTTTCATTACATCACCACAGTACATGCCTGAAGGTGGAATAGAACGTCAACACGCAAACAAATCATGAATTTTAACAAAAATAAAGGTTATTCTACACATTTGTTTTTAAATTGATACGTTAGAATGGAAAATATGTTTTAAAACGTTCTTCAAACATAGTCCAGATGTAATTTTAAATTAAGACACAATTTTATTAAATAATGGAAGTTTAAGTGAATTCCTAGAATAAATACAGACTTAGCGGTTCTTAATTCCATCAATCTTATAATGTTTGGTAAATTTGATATTTCGAAATATCAAAAATGAATGTTCGAGCGCTGTTATTATGACAAATCGTTTAAAATTAATTACAATTTCAAACAATTGATAAACATAACGTTGCAATATCAGGGACGATTTAGCGCAAACGTCAAAGTTCTGTTCGCTTATAAAGAGGGTCGGCAGACATGACGGAGTGCACCAGCCAGCGGTCCCCTCTCTACAGAATGCCAATTTTCCGCTCACCGCCACCGACTGCGCAATTATTTAGATAAACCTCTCTGCGTGACTATAAAAACATCTTCCCCTCCCCCAACGCCGTTTGTTGTCTTTGGGGCTTTGTTAATTTATTGCCCGGAGTTAACCGGGACGGGACACGGAAAAAAATGTACTTTTAATTTATCTCGTTAAAGGGTTGAAGGACGAGCGGGTTCGCGAAGTAATTATTCCGAAATTGGCCACTTTGCCTGATGAATCCATTCCGCTGAACCCCTTTTTCGGAGGGCGATCGTAGAGTGAATTAATTCCTCGGCGATTTCGGCGAAGTGAAAGATTAAGTTTCGGAAGATGAGACTCGGCGTAATTAGACGCAAATAAGTTGTAAGCTCGCCGCTTGTTTAACCGCTTTTGTATTTCACCAAGTTTACTACTCAAAGTTACTTTAACTGTAATTGGTTAAAGAATAATCCGTTTTTTATTTATTTTCCTACCTAAAAACGCTTTTTTCCTGGATTATGTTTGTAAAAAGGCTTATGTACTTTGGACAGTGAATCATTAATCATTAGAAGATAAAAACAAAGCTACTATTGCAACACGTTATCTTACCTGCCAGTTTTTGTGATGATCATCTCGGTGCCGAGGTCGTGGAATTTGTCCCATAGCTCCTTGGTCTCGAGCTGACAGTCCACAGTCAGTAGCTCCTCGCAGTTGCAAGAAGTAGCCGGCAGAGGTCGCACCGGAGACGGAGTATCTCTTTCGCCCAACTCTACAAATTTACTTATATTTAACAATTTTATAAATACAAATAAATTTACATATTAAAGAGTTTTCTTGAGTAATTGTTCGGAGGAACTCCCTTATGGTTTATGGCAAAGTTATAATTCAATCGATTAACATTGTAAAAGTTAAATCTTACTAATATTATAAATGCGAAAATTTAGATGGATGGATGGATGGATAGATGGATGGATAAATGGATGTTTGTTAGCGTTTGTAGCCTAAACGGCTGAACGGATCTCCATGAAATTTGGTACAGGTTTAGAGCATAGTCTGGAAGAACACATAGGCTACTTTTTATACCTGGAATAGTTACGGTTCCCGTGGGATTTATTAATTTAGTTTTTTAATGTTTACTCGATCATTCTGCAGCGGTTCAACATATCTTATTGAAATTTGGCACAGATATAAAACAAAGTCTGAAGTACACATGGGATAAGCTTCATCCCTGAGAAATGTCTAGTTCCCGAGGGATACGTAGCTTTTTGTAATTTATATAGTTTGTATGTTTTCTAATACCACGCGGACGAAGTCGCGGGCAACAGCTCGTATAAGAAAGACTTTTCACATTTAGCATAAATTAAAAATAGCTTTGTAGCAATTAGTTTATTGCCGTTAGAATAGTTACAGCATAGCTACCAATGTTATTTAAACGTAACCTTTATGAAGGCAGTTATTCGAAACAGTTATTAGTTAGAGTTAGTGAGATCCCGACATTAGTCGGCTCACGTGCAAACGATGTGAGAACGCAATGTCTGAGAAAGTTTATTTATTATGATAATCATCCAGTCCGTAATTATGACGTCAATTTACTTTTTACCTTGCGATAGTGCCAAGGTATTGTGTGTCAAAAGTGTAATTACAGCAATGTCTTCGTGTTAATAAAAATCGTTTTGTGGTAATACTTGGGAAGACAAATACAATTCGCTTGATAACAGCCAAGTTACAAGTCATGTAAGTAAAATGTAGTCAAATTTACACAAATACTAGCTTTCGCCCGCGACTCCGTTTGTGTGGAATCAAAAAAAACAAAAGTGAGTAGCCTATGTGTTCTTCCAGACTATCCTCTACATCTATGTCAAATTTCATCATAATCCGTTCATCCGTTTAGACTACAAACTATAACAAACATCCATCCATGCATCTAAACTTTAGCATTTATAATATTAGTATGAAGAATGACTGCAAATCATTTTATCCAAAACATTTCTAAAATAATATGCTTAATGAAAACTCTTGTATCTGTTAAGCCATAAGTAACCGTTTTATTCGTGTATTAAATTTTAGTTTATCTGCCCTTAACTTAAGTTATAATTCAGTGTAACCATCAATCGTGGTATGCAACAAGGAAGAAGTAATAGATAAAAAAAAAACTGTTTATTAGACAAAAAACATTTTTACAGAATCCATTGGGGCTCTGTCTCCTGAACTAATTATAACAACTGTATGTTTACATAATACGGTTTCGTATTTGGTTTGTCAACCTCAACCCCCACAGAGTAATAGGTACAGAGACTGTCTCTTTAGTCTCAAAATCTTTGTCAGGCGTTACAAGCAATACTTTGTCCTTGTCCAAGCTGAGTATCCGTATGTACCTGAGGAAGGAGCTGGCGAGGGTATAGCGTGGTCGGAGGCGTCTCGCTCGCCATCCGAGCACTGCTCCACATCAACTTCGACGTCCTCGTCGGGCGCCGGGCTGCGGCAGCTCGACGCTGCCGAACTCAGCGACGCCGGTGAGCTCTGCCGCGACGACACACCTGATAATAGTCATTCGTTTAGCCTTGCATTTTTAACACTTAGGCTTGCTACACATGTTTAATTTTCAACCACAAATAATATTTAACTATCAATCTTATTAATCTTACTAATATTATGAATACGAACGTTTAGATGGATGGTTGCATGAATGGATGTTTGTTGGAGTTTGTAGCCTACACTGATGACCGGATTTCGATGTAATTTGGTATTGATGTATAGGGTAGTCTGGAAAAACACGTAGGCTCAATTATTATTTTTAATTCCAGGCAGACGGAGTCGCGGGCAATGGCTATCTAAAATAAAATTATAAAATTCGAGACAGCTGCTACATTTTACGAGTACAGAAAGGAATAAAAACAACAATTAATACAGAGAATGTTACAATTAAAGTATAAAAATGAAATATAACTGCATATTAACAAAGTTGCCATCTACGGCGCAATAAAAATATAGTTCAATATAAAGGTGTAAGGGCCAGACGTGGAGGGCTGGTGTCGAATATGCTCGGTTCCGCACAATTAATCCTAAATAACGAACGCGGCCGCAACCCGACGCCTGCGCCCGCGCAAACCACTCCAATTAGTATTTGGAACTCCCACTTTTACCCGCCAACGGTCACGCTCAAGAAAAACTTTGATTTCAACATGTTTTATGTTCCACAGGGAAAATAATACTTGAAACAACTTTAAAGTTGACTAACTTTATCGAGTTACAGGTAAACTTCTTTAATCCAAAATTTCACACAAGCCCACATTTTTCACTGAAAACATTGAATGTGCATAACAGAAAAAGTGACAATTCCAAGTTTTAAAAGAAACTGTTTTAAATTATAAAAAAGCACAAATTACGTTAAAAGACATAATCTAACATTAATGACACATTTCCTGCAAACACAGGCGTTTTGTTCATTTAGGGCCTGTCCCACCACTGGCTGGTAGAGGCTCAGATAGCTTAAAAATGACTTCACTGTCAGACAAGGTAACAAAATCCGATGTTTCCATCACATTTACAATTTGGTGGGACAGGACCTTCGTCTGCTAACTTTAAACCTAAGCACTTGATATGAAAGTGTAGACAAAAACATCTGTATATAGTTTCGTGACGGAATTCAATTCGTAGGTATCAAATCTACATAACCAAAATTCAAAATGGCGGACATTCATACCATTAAAAACATCACTATAGTATTGCGTTTTATTTACACGTGCCAAAGTGAAACAACAATTTTTCCTGCATCGGCCATTATGGTAGGAAAGGAATTTATTTATTTATTGATGAATCGAAAAAAAGAACTTACGAATTTGAGCGTTTGCTATTTACCTATGTTTAAAATATTAATTGCATTAGAACAAGATTTAAACTGCCAAATGAAAGACCCATAACTCATTGTAAAAAAATGAATAAAAACCATACTTTTTCATGGCTGCAACTTGAGAAGGTGTAGAAATTATTTTAGTTAACATTTAACTACAGCGTATAAATTATATTTACGACATTTTTGTTTAAAAATTAATGTCTGACTGACGTTTAATATTCAGAATATTAAAATAAAACATAAATATTCATGAATGTTCATCATCTAACAATTATGGATCAAGATAAAATCTTAATATAGTTTAAATTTCTGTGTAGACGAATTATAATGCATTTATTACGGATAGAATAAGTACTAAATCAAAAACCTTCGTATAATTAGAAAATTCTACGCAATTTCATATTTTAATTCAAAAGTAAAATACCTACTAATACTACATTATTTCAAGTGTTAACAATTCAACAATATTAATATTCTCTGTTCTAAAAAGCCATTTAGTTTCTAGTAAAAATCGATATAATTCAACTGTCTTTCAAATAATATGTTAGCTATTTAACAATTATTATATTATCTGTTCTAAAAGACTATTTAATCTGTAGTAAAAGTCAACACAATTTATCTTTATTTAAAATAAAAATAAAATCGTAATAACAATCCAATAGATCGTTATAATATTTCATTTATAATTTTAAAAATATAATAATTCGATTTATTAAGTAATCAGATAGAACTTATTTATTAACATTAAAATAATGTAAATAGCGTGGTCGGATGACGGCCATGTTTGGTTTTGTATTGTGAATGAAGAAGAATGGAGTTGAAGAAAATCCGGCTCTGACTCACACAAGGTTATATCCGATGCGCCGTTCGTGTCCTCAAAGACTCCAAAGACCTAATCATCAGGCTTTGCCCATTGCGGTACTCCTTCCGCATTCAATGATAAAAAAAATATTATAGTGAAACCTTAATGAACTACGCACGTGCAAACAATAAATCACAGTTTATAACATTAATAGGGATCCAACACTGTACCTTACAACTTTTCAGCACAAAACACCATCGAAAGTAAGAGTTTATCCAAGTATTTCAGAAGAAAGAATCAGCGTTCTTTCTTGTAACAGACTAGTTGAACCACCATACTCGTATATGTTGCCTATTATAAAAAAATGTTATAGATTTTGGTTTCACTTATGAACGTCCTTAGACAATTCAAGACCACCAATATTTAATTATGAACGAAACATAAGCTAAGCGCATAGAAAAAAAACTGTTTTTTAGTATTATATTTACTACAATGTAACGTTTATTGAATTGTTGATATCATATTGATTCTAATAAGAAATCTTCTTGTTAGAAAACCTAACAATATATTTTTTGTTTGCTTTATTTCTCGTAACTAGGCTCATTTCCTTCAATGTTACTTTACATATTTAGAGCGTGCGCACACTTATAACTAAAATATCGCATAACTGTTTAGTCTCGCTTTGATTCCTATGAGCTTCTACGGAGGTGCGTACACTACTCGATTTTTAGTTGTGCAACTAAAATGTTGAATTGGCTGTGAAATAATCGACAATCGCCAACAGTTCTGCGCTAGTTTAGTCAAATGTGTGCGCCCGCTCTTATAGTTTTAAAAATCCGAATTACAAATGGAGTATATCTCATAAATTCCAATTGGATTTTTTCATTGACTTTCAATAAATTTATTTAATTTCTTAGTCATTTTAAAATTGAAAAACAATTATAAGCAAAGACCACTTATAAACGGTTAATCGACAGCCGTCGGTCGGCATGTTGGGTTTTCTATAAACAACATTTTTATTAAAAGTTTATGATAATTAAACTTTAAGTAACTCTTTAAATGTTTTATACAACATTTATTTATTAGATGTTTTCAAGAAAGATATAAAGCGATATATAATGTGCGATTATTTTATGTGCTAACAAAATGATCATTGACAGACGACAGTCATCATTTGAAGGCAATTTTCTTCTGTCATTTGTTAATAACGTTCGCAAGCGGATTGCATTCAATTCAAATTAGTCTTATAACTTTAAATTTATTTTCTTCCGAACAATGTACTTCCTTTCATTTATTTATACTGTAAATAACGGTGGATTCTAAAAACATCAAATATCTAGGTGTCAATTTAAGTAAAACCAACCTATGTAATTTTGCACAAAAATACTATGACAAAAAAACGTTATAAATTTGATTTCAAATTTCAGAAACAGTAAAACAAAACATCTATAGCTACTATAAGGTCCGTAAATTAAGTGTAGTATGAGTTTATACTTAAGTTAGGCCTAATTGCTTCTTATAAATCACTTGTTTTTTTGCTATAATGTGTCCCACGAACTGTCACAGCTGAAAAAAGAAAAGTAGGAAAATTCCTGTAAGTAGGTAATAAAATTTAGGCCTATCTGACCGATGTGAGTTGGCGACCTCGCGCCGGGGCTCCGGGGCTCCGCGGCACTGCGCGCCATGATGGCCGCGATAGAGAAGTCCGTGGCCCTCGTGCGGCCCTCCTCAGCCACCATGCTGCCGGGTCG